AGAAACAAAAGAAAGAAAGATTCATAGAATAATGTGGTTAAACATTTCATCCAATAACAGAATGCCTCTATGAGGTGTTTCACCTACTACTCCTTTTGTGGTGAGCCAGACTCCACCTCTTTTTCTACCTAGAAGGATGTAAAGGAAGTACCTGCCCCAGGTTTCGCTCTTTAGAGGTTTTCAGTGATCCAGACCTTTGCTTGAAATGGTTTAAAACCTTTGGTGGGAGACAAGACATACATAGAGGAAGCAAGCAATATAGGACAATAATGTAATAAAATGCTAGTGGCAGAATGCCTATATGTAAATCCTAGCTCTGGTATTTATTACCTTGGGCAAGACATTTTACCGCTAGGGGCTTCAGTTTCCTCATCTATAAATTAAAGATATTGGACTGGGTGACATTTGAAGTCCTATCTAGTTTCAAATCTGTGATCCTAATTGAATTAGCCCAGAGTTAAAACAGTAATAGTGTGGGCAACCATTACAGATGGTAGAATGGGGTTTGTAATTGAATAGTGATGAGTGATAGAATAGAATTTTCAAAGCTGGAAAGGACTTGAGAAGTCTTCTAGTCTAACCAAGCCCCCGCCCCCCCTGGTTTGTTTTTTTTTAACAGTCAAGGAAACAGGCCTAGAGAGTTTAAGGGACTTGGCTAAGCCAACAATAGTTCCCTGATTCATTGATTGCCAGCTTTAGTGCTCTTCAAGGAAGGTTCATGAAAAAGGATGGACTTAAGATAGGCCTTGGACAGTAAGAATTGGATAGGCAGTGAACTAGGTTGTACTGTATCCACAGACATTGGCTTGCTGCTTGGTTGACGTACTAGCTGGACTCTTTTATCAGTGGATGTCAGTCACTTCAATAGACTTAACTGCATGTGACCATTTACTTTTTTGGGACAGATCTGAAATTTGTTGATTCACTTTTATTTTCGTTATTCAAGTGATAGTTAATTTCATATTCAGTTCTGAACTCTAGACTCATATTCAGTTCTGAACTCTAGACTCAAATAATCAGTTCAGCTTTCTGCAACACAGTGGAATATACCATAACTCTGACAATGATTTCTCTGAATTCTACTTTCTTTTTTGGTATGGGTTTTTTTTGGTGTTTTGGGGGGGCATATATGACTCCCATAACTTTCCTTAGATGAATTCTTTGCTATAGTAATAGTGTATTAGCATAATCATTATTAATTATGAAATACATTAATAATAATTAATATTATCACTATTACTACTAGCATTTATAGAATGCTTTAAGGTTTGCAAAGTACTTTACAAGTATATCATTTTATCTTCCCAACTATCCAATGGAGAAGATGCCATCATTATCCCTGTTTTACTGATGAGAAAACTGAAGCACACAGAGATTAAGTGAGTTGCCCTAGGTCACACAGCTATTAAGTGTCTGTGGTCAAATTTGAACTCAAGTCTTCCTGACTCCAGGTCTAGTATACTAGCCATGGTATCCAGCTGCCACTCTCATTAGTGTTTTGGTTCTGAAGATCATTGTAGTTATTTAATGGGCCATTTTATGCACAAATAGAAGGGCATCCTTACTCATGGGTGGGGACGGTTGTCATCAAGTGGTATCATTTCAGGACACCCCAGGAGAGCTTACTGGGCTGACTGCGCAAGCTAATGCTTTAAATTTTACAACTAAAGGTTATTTTTGATCCCTTGGGGCTGGAGGGCTCTGTGTCATGTATGTTTGGAGGAAGTTGTCAAAGAGCCTAAATAAAAGACACATAAAGGAAAGGCTCGGAGGTGCTAAAAGCAAATTTCTTATTTTTGCTTAGGGCTGTTGTAATTTCCTCTTGCCTGCTATTCTCAAACCATGCTTTGTGAGGGATGTGGGTGGGTCAAGTTTAACTTTGGACTGTGTCAGATCTTGTTTCTGAGGAAAAGGGAAGTTCTACCCCCTGAGCCAAGTGGTAGATGATCTGAAAAGACAGTCTGGTGAAACCTTATTGAAGATGTTAATGCCATTCTTAAATTTGAAAAATGTAGCCAGTGACTCATGACACTCCTGTGGCAAGATGGACTTCAGGCTGTTTTTCTGCAGCTAGGCAGATCTAGAGGGACATGGCTGGTTCCACTTTGTGGGAATCCTTTTAATCATTCAGCTTTACTCGGTTCAGTGGGGGCTGTCTCTACTCATCCTGATCTATATCTTGCCACGGACCCAGATGCTCCAGAGGAGAAAGTAAAGCTGGTGACTTTGCATAGCCTTCCTTCACTGAAATCCAGTTCACTTGCAAGTCATGGCATCACCTTCCTGATGCCATGGTCCTCTTTGAGAACAAAGGGCAAAAACAACAATTCAACTCAACTCAGTATTGTGAAGGGCCTATTATGCATGCACTATGCTAGGCAATGAGGATGCCATCCCATGGAAATGTATAGATCCTGTGCAAAGATACCAAGATAGGAGATAGAATATATGTAGAATGGGAAGTAAGCCTGGAATGGAAAGTAGGTGATGAAGAGTAAAATGTTGGACTAGACCATAACATCAGAGATGTAGAACTGGATGGAATCCCATAGTGGTCTCCTCCAGCCCTGTCATTTTGCAGATAAGAACACTGAGGCTTGGGATTTGCCTAAGATCACACAGGGAAAAGGTGTCAGAAGTGGGATTTAAACCTGGGTCTTCCAACTCTCTTTTCACAGAGTATGAAGGACTTTAAATACCAAAGAGATGAGTTTGTATTTTATTTTAGAAGCAATAGAGAGTCATGGAAACTTCTTGAGGAAGGCAATGATATGGTTAAAATTGTGTTCCCATAATCATAGGATTCATGGAAGAACAGAGGTTGTCACTTGCCACCTCATGTTGGAAAGGTTGCTGACACAGGATTGACTTTAAAACAAAAAGATCCAGGTTAACTAGTTAAGGTTTATAAAGGCTGGTTCCCTCCTGAACCTTAGGCTTTTTCTGCTCAATTTTTCAGCAAATTAGTGATTCTGCAAGTGACACAGTAGCCTGTTATTTCCATGACAACACTGATTTGGTACCTTTAGCTTGATATCTTCATTGCAGGCTTAAAAACTAAAGGAAAGCTGAACTTAGAGGCAAGAGGCTTAGGTACTACTTTCTTAGTAAATACCCATATCAGTTTTGAATGGAAATGTGGCTCTGGTTTGGCAGAGGAATTTGCATTTGTTAAAAAAAAAAAAAAGGTCTCTTGGCTTGATTGCTAAATTATTTCACTAGTTGAAAAGCCCACTGTGTACATTGTAATTTAAAGAGCTAAAATGTTTCCAGTGAGGAAGTTTTCCAAACCTCATAGCCTGTAATGTTTTAAATATTCGAATCTGGCCGAATGAGTTCATGCTATTGGTTGATTGGTTCTATCTCTCTCCCTGAAGGCTGGTTTGTTACCACTGATCAGATACATGGGAACTATTGATTTTCTTTTTAGATGACGATGCTTGATGTACAGTAGACAAAATGAAAAAAAATTGCTAGTCGTGGGATACTTCTGATTTGGGCTGTATAAGAGGAAAATATGAATAAGCCCCGTTACATTTTGGCTTCAGGAACTAGATTGAAGGTATATGGAAAATGCGTTCACCTCTGTGATAGTGGTATTATTATTTAGTCTTTGTTTGCACTGATAAACTTCTAGAAGTAAATTCGCTGAACAAAAGAGTGCCAAGGCACCCTCCATTTCTGATCCTTCATTAATAGTTCCATTCCATTGGCTGAGAAGTGGTTCTAGGAGGGGCCTTAGTTTTTCTTTTTGGAGCTCGAATGAACCTTAAAGAGCACAGGTAGCATTCAGCCAAACTCAAAGCAAGAAAAGGCATTAATAAAAAACAAACTAACAAAGGGCTGGTTTAGATCATAATAATAGCTCTCATTTGTAGAATGTTTTAAGGTTGCAAAGCTCTTACTTAACATTATATCATCTCATATCTCATCCTATGAGAAAAATCTTATTATCCTTATTTTGCAAATGAGGAAACTGCTGCTCAAGGAGATTTAAGTGATTTGCCAACCTATGGAGCTACTAAATGTCTGTGGAGAAATTCATACCCCGGTCTTCCAGATTTCAAGTCTAGGGGAGAACCAGTATACCATAGTGCCTCTCTTCAAAGTCACTTCTAGTTTTCATAAGTGCCTAGCACTCAGACATTTACTAACTGTGTGACCCTGGCCAAGTCACTTAATCTGCATTGCCTCAATCTGTATCTTCCTGATACAATCTTGCTGCTCTGTAAAATGAGCTAGAGAAGGAAATGGCAAACTACTCCAGTATCTTTGCCAAGGAAACTCCAAATTGGTCATGAAGAGTAAGACATGACTGAATCAACTGAACAACAGACAACAGTGTTCTGTACCTTCTAGGCACTTAGTAAATGCTTATTCATTCTGTCAACTTTAGTAACTGTATTTAGTTCAAGGAACTAATGATATTACCAGTGTAGATAGTCCCTCCACAAGTATAAACTGAAATTCCTTAGACTGTGTTTACTGTTGTAGTAGAAAAAAATCTTCATTCCCTGTGACTTACCGTAATGAGAATCTCTGAACTTTGCTCCACTAATCCTTGGAATGTAGCAGCAGCCTGTCATTGGTTCCAATTTGGAAGCCTGTCCTACTGGGTAGGGCATTCCAGTTATGGCCTTTGGGAACCAGAGGCTCCATCCCTTGGTGAGACAGAGCAGGAATTGGATGGATAAGAATTTTATGGGTGTAATTTTTAAAAAATTATACTACACTATGGACTTAACAATTTCTTCTCCCTGGCTTTCCTCACACCCACCCCTGCCCTGCCCAGTTACTGTTATCTTTGAGTTCCTGATGTTAAAGGATAATATGAGCCAACAGAAAGAAAAATCACTGTAAAGAAAATAATTCCCACCCCTGTCTTCCCTTGCAGTCTCAACACTTTGATAAGGTCTGGTTGGGGTGAAGGTGGGTGGAGTATGTGTTTAAAGAACAAAATAAACAAACAAACCATTTGGTATCTTTTTCTTTTCCTCCAGGAGGACTGGAATGAAATTGACCCAATTAAAAAGAAAGACCTGCACAGTAACAATGGGGACGACAAAGCACAGAATGTGGAGACTCTCCCTCCAGGTATTACAACATTATTCTTACTTGGCCAGTTCCAGCCTTTGGAGCTGACGATGGTAATTCCAAAATAGAAATGGCAAAGTCTTGTTGTTTTGCCTACAAAGTTCTAATCTGTGGCACTTGGCAGCAGACTATGCAAGTAGCTCTTGTGGGGTAGGTATGGATTTCACAGGATCAGATGACTTTGACAGCACTAGAGGAACTGTTAGTCTTCAGGGTCCTAAAGTGATTGAGGATTAGATACGTCTTTTAACCCTCGTCTACCCTCCCCTCTTCATTGTTCTGTCCATTGGAGAGATATGGCTCTATCTCTTTTATAAAAGTATTTTCCTAGAATCCATTGGTGTTTAGGTGACCTTTAGGTCCGTATCCTCTATTCTCTTTTGCTGGGATCTTAGGTTTTCCATGTAATAGCTCCAAGTAATAGAAAATAAATTTCCTTTAGAAAATAGGGATTACCTTCACAGTGACTAGTGCCTTGTGTATAATAGTTACCAAATGAGTATTTCTTTATAAGAAGAATAATGTAGACCTGGGATCCATTTTTCATTTTGTGGATCAGTTAACTTACCCCAGAATGTTTTTTTTTAATCCGCTCAGTTATCTGCTGTACTTACATGGAGTTATTTTAAAGCTTGAGGATTTTTCCCATCCGAATAAGAACAATCTTGAAGGCATATGCTATCCCCAACCATTAAATTTTAGTTCTCTTTATATTGGATTGTAAAATAAAATGAGTCTTTTCTCTATTAGCAAATATGGTCAGTTATGTAGAGTATCCACTGGCCCACTATCATCCTTCTTTATCTATTGTGCATTTAGTTGTCTTAAAGAGACAGGACTGTAATGATTTTTCCATCTTTGAAATATTGCTAGTAGCTTTTGACTGCTGCTTTTGCTCTAGGTACTGTTAGGTTGCCAACAACCTTCTTCCTTTTTCCTGTGGCCTCTTCCTACTGTACCAGTTATAATAAATTATCTTCACTTCTCTCTCTCTCTCTCTCTCTCTCTCTCTCTCTCTCTCTCTCTCTCTCTCTCTCTCTCTCTCTCGTCCTCTTCCCAGTTGATATTGGGCATGACTAGAGATTTGTGGTCTCTAGATCATCCAGGTCAGACTTAGAATAGCTGTTAGTGGTTCAGTGTCAGCTTGGAAGGAGGTTTCACTGCAGTAGAGCACACCAAGGATGTGTGCTTGGCTCTGGATGTTTAAAATCTTTATTCATTTACTGGGATAGAGCATTATTGTCAAATTTGTAGATGTTACAAAACTGAGAGGGATAACAATACCCTGGATAGCACAGTCATCATTAGCACTATTGGGTTATAGATTTAAAACTAGAAGTGACCTTAAAGGCCATTCCCTTCGTTTTACAGATGAGGAAACTGAAACCCAGAGAGGTTAAATGACTTGTCCAAGGTAACACAAAAGACAGAGGTGAGGTAGGAATGCAATCCAGGCATGGGAGAAAATACATAGAAACACACACACACACACACACACACACACACACATAAATACAAGGCTGTTAAATGCAGCATAATTTGAGACTGAGGGCACTAGCAAGTGATGACATGAGGAATGGCTTAAATGCTTGAGTTGAGTCTTAAAGGAAATAAGGGGATTGGGGGGGCAGAAGTGAGGGGGCATTGCTTTCAGGCACCAGTGAGAAGGCACGGATGGGAGATGAAATGTCATATCTGGGAAACAAAGAGAAGGCCAGTTTGGCTGACCTTCCACCATTTGGAAAAGAGAGTAATGAATAATGAGCCTCAAAAGATAGGTTGTGAAGGACTTCAAAAGCCAAAGAGAGGAGTTTATATTTAATTCTAAAGAAATAGTGAAGTAACTGGAGTTGATTGAATAAAGGAGTGACAGATTTTCTCTCAAGAGTATCATTTCCATAGCTATATGGAGGATGGGTGGGAATAGAGGGATAGTCAATTAATAAATGAGTATTTTTAAGCACTTACCATATTCAAAAGTAGATTTAGCAAAAATAACTGAAGAGACAAAGCACCGTCTTTACAGAGGAAAACGAACCTGTCCTGCCTTCCAAATCAGAAAAATAAACAATGTTAGAGACAAAAAGAAGCAAATAGAAACCTAACTTGCATAACTTAAAATGGAAATGTATTAAATAATACAGAAAAATAAAAAAGAGTGACAGATTGGGTAAGAAAACAAAATGCCATGATCAACTTCTTACAAGAAACATACGTCAAAAGCAAAGACATGCATAGAATAAAAACGAGGAGCTGGTACAAAATTCACTATGCATCAGGCAGATTAAAAAAAAAAAGCTGCTGTTGCAATCATGTTATCAGACAAAACAAAAATAAAAATTCACAACTTAAAAAGAGATGAGAAAACTACACTAGTCCAAAAAGAAACTATAGACAATAGATCAATATTAACATTAACTTACATGCCTCAAATGCCTTAGCATCTAAATTTATAAAAGAAAATTAATTGAATTGCAAGAAGATATAGATAACAATATAATACTAGCAGGGAATTTTAATGTCCCTGTCTCAGTTTTGGACAAATTGAACAGAAAGATAAGAGGGAAAATATAGAATTGAGCAAATTGATGGAGAAACTAGAGCTAAAAGACTTATAGTGTATTCTAAATGGGACCACTAAAGAATATACATATTTCTTAGCACCATATGGAACTTTGACCATCTGTTGACCAAAATTGACCATCTCTTAGGGTATAAAAATATTGCTGAAATAGCAAACATATCCTTTGTAGACTTTTTCTTTTTGATAAAAATAATAATCATTTCAGGGAGCAATAACTAAAGCTACAGACCCAAATAAAGACTTAGAAAGAAATCCTAAATAATGAGTAGGTCAAAGAATAAATCATAGAAATAGTTAATAATTATATAAAGAAATTGATAATGAAGAAACAACATACCAAAATTTCTGGGATGCAGCTAAAGAATTCCTCAGGAGAAAATTTATATCCTTAAAAACATGCATTAACAAAGTAGAAAAAGAGAGGATTAATGAACTAAATACAAATTTAGTAATTAGAAAGTCAGCAAGTACAAAATAATCCCAAATGGCGTGATATTAAAACATAGAGAAGAAATAAATAAACTGGAAACCAGATTTAAAAATGAAACAGACCCTATTCTCCAGGTGTTTACATTGTATCTGTGGAGACAATGTATGCATGTATAAGTGTATACAGAATAACTATGTCTAGAATAAATTTTCTAAAAAAGTAGTTAGCTAGAGCATTTGGGGAAGAACAGAAAGGGCTTTGTGTAGAAGATGGTGCTTGAACTGGGTCTTAAAGAAAGAGAGATACTCTATGAGGCAGAAATGATGTTGGATTAGGCAGGGAGGAGCACCCAGTGGAAAGGCGTGAAGATAGGAATCACAGTGTTGTATTTGAAGAACAGATGGCTGGACCATAGAGTGAGCAAAGAAGAATAATGTATAATGACCTTAGAAATATAAATTGGAACCAGGATGTAGAGGACTTTAAAAGCCAATCTGGGAAATGTATATCTTATCCAAGGGCAGTAGAGAGCCACTGAAATTTATTAAGTAGGGGAAAGTTACATTTAGATTTGCACTTAAGGAAAGTCACTTCGTGTGGAGAAAAGATTGGAATGGGAGAGACTGGAAGCAGAAAAACCAGTAGTCTAGTTGAGAAGTGATGGAAACCCAAACAAAAGTGGTTATTCTGTGACTAGAGAGAATGAGTCAGTGGTGAAAGATGTTATGGAGGTAGAAACAGCAAGATATGGCAACTAATTGAACATGTGGGATGAAGGAGAGTAAGGAGTCTACAGTAAGGCTGACGTCATGAATCTGGGAGGCTAGATCCAGAAGGATCTCAAAAGATCTTCACTCAGCAAGCATTTATTAAGCACCTCCCATGTTCTCGGTACTGTGTCACGTCCAGAGGATACAAAGGCAGAAACAAAGTAGTCCCTGCCTTTAAGGTACTTATATTCTATTGGCAGAAAAAAAAGAAGAAAAAAAACACCTCTGAACTTTTTGACAGGCTAGAGCATTGAGTTTGAAGCTAATAAGATGGAATTCAGTAGGGATAAATGTAGTCTTAAACTTGGTTTTTAAAAAACCAGCTTCACAAGTACAAGGTTAGAGGAAGCTGGACAGTAGTTTGTCAGGAGAAGACCTGAGAGACTTGACGGAAAGCAGGCTTGATACAAGTCAGCAGTGTGAGCCCCAAAAGATAATGAGGTCTTGGACTGCATTAATAGAAGCATAATTCTTAGGAATAAGGAGGTGGTGAGAGGGCCCTGTTACACTCCAAGTGAATAAAAATGCTAGACTTCAAGGTTAGAAAGAACTAGAGTCAGCTCCTTTTCTGGTGCAGACTGGTTATGTGACCTTAGATGAGACATTTAACCTCTTGTAACCCAGACATCCCTTTAAAACTGTAAGTTGCCAAGCAGTTGCTGATATGCACTAGTACAAGGAGTTTTCTCCTTGCTAATTTTTCATACCAGTGAAATCACAGATCTGGACAAAAAAAGGAGGTGATAATCCTTCTACTCTTCCTTTTTTTAGAACACATCTGGGCCTCTGTTCATTTCTGGATACCATAGTTTAGGAAGGGCATTGCTTAATCACAGTAATCCTTTTTTTAAGCACCTAGTATATGCCAGGCACTGTGCTAAATGCTAGGGAGACAAAGAAAGTTAAAACAAAACAAAGTCTCTGCTGTCAAGTAGCTCACTGTCAAATGGCTATAGCATCAAAGGCAACAACAGTAGTGAAGGTCCTTGAATCCTGGTCTTATGTGATTTTATTGAAGGAACCTGGGATGTTCAGCTTGGAGAAAACTGGGGGAAAGGGAGACAGAGAAATGTTCAAATATTTGAAGGAGTGACACGCAAAAGGATTAGACGTTCTTTGGGCAATATGTTGAAGTGTCTGTATGTTAAGAAAACCATTTTAACAATTGGGGAGGGAGGAAAGAAGGAAGGAATTTTTAAGTACCTACTGTGTGCCA